GATGGTTCTGTCAGACCACGACATAAACTGATCCCTGATTTTTTTCCGACAATATTCTCATGCTAGTTGTCTCTAAGATCTTTTCATTATTCATTCGGTCAAACCGTCGGACGTTTAGTATTCCGCAGGCACCGCTGCTGCAAAGTGTCCCAACATCCCATACTGTTTTAAAAGGGTTGATGTTTCAACTTTGTGCATCAGGACTGGGAAGTATGGTGATTTTTGTTGCTGTCCGCACAGATCGGTCTTTCCAGAACTAGAAAGTCACCGGAAGTTCGTAGACCGGCCTTAGCACGGCTCTACTTCCAAGTCGCAATTTCCGCCTCTTGCCAGTACTGACCAGTGGTAGTTGAAGTTTACCACCTCCTTGATGGTCGTTCTACTCTGTTTAATCTTTGGGTCGTTAGTCGAGTCGGGTGTTCGCAAGATCTTCGTTTTGGTGGGGTTAATTTCTAGGCCTAACTTCGAGGGTACCTTGCAAGCTTCTCGAGTTAGTGCCAGTAAGACATTGGCGGAGTCGTTCAGCAGTTCAGTGTCGTCAGCGTACTCGACATCTGTTATGAGTCGTCACGTGATAGTAAATTCCTCAATGTTACTATTTGCAATGCTTCTCCGCATCACATAATTCACGACTTTGTTGCATCACAGAGGTGAAGACTCCTCTCCTCTGCGCACTCAAATGTTTAAGCTAAACATGTTAAACAACGACTATTTTGCTTTGATGGCGCCTTTAGTATTTTCATACAGTTTTTTTAGCAGACCAGTGATATTCTGCCGTACTTCATATTGTCGCGGGGTGCGCCAGAAGGACTGACGAATACCGAGTCGGAAAGCTGCTCGTAAGTCGAGGAGTGCTACATGTCGAGAGTAGTTGGAAGCTCCGTCCAATTGTCTTCATTAGTACGGTCATGTCATCTATATACCAGACTTCATTTCAATAGCCTGATTGATTTGGTCGAAACGAATCTTCAGCTGCATTCTTCAGTCTTTGAATGAGGATTCACTCAAATACCTTTTCCATCAAAACCTGATTCCGCGGTAATTAGCTCAATCAGAATGACTCCCACGCTTGAATATGGGAATAAACACGCCTTGCTTCCAGTTCTCAGGGATTTCTGACTTCCGCCAGTTGCTGTCAAAAACCAGATCGATCCTTTTCAATAGGGTTCCGTCTGAGCACTTCAGAATTTCCACACTAATCCTGTCTTGCTCGTGGGATTTCAGACTTTGACAGAGACGGTGGCATCTCGGAATTCATCTTTCGATCGAACAGAGCAGTCAGTTTCCCGTTCTTCCCGGTCTTCGAACTCTATTTCCAAGTCATTCACTGGACCCGACCGGTTTAGGAACTCTTCGAGTGTTCAGCCCATCTCTGAATATGGAAGGGGCTTGTTAGAGCTCCTGCGAATCACATAAGACAGGGGCTTATGTTTGCAGCCATTGGCGATGATGTTAACTTGTCTGTACAGCGTCTTTCAGCCCTTCTTCAAAACCGTCTGTTCCAGGTTATGTGCTTCAAGTTCCACCCAGTGTCGCTTTTCACAGCGATAACCCCAGTCGACTGCTTTAATGAGATGCCGATGCTCTCATTTCTTCGCTTTTTAAGAGTTCTGCAAGAACTCCTGCTTCACCGCGTTTCTTCTTTGCGGATATTGAAGATTTTTGGTGAGACCCACGGATGCTCCTTCATTCTGCTTAGGCCGAGTATATTTTTTGCGGGACCAGCGATACCCTGTTTTATTTGTTGGCAAGTAACTCTGAATCTCGGTAGGCCATGTGTGCTTGACAGCAGCGAGTCTGTTGTTGATGTCGTCTTGGAACGCAGCGCAAGTTTATAGATCTTTTAAGTGGTATCGAATATGGCGTTCGCACCTTTCGTTGCTGTTCTCCGGGACGTAGCCAATTGGAGGCAGAGCTTCCGACCACCGCGAAGTTGGCTGAGATGACTCTGCGTCATGCTAGATATCGTGAAGGGTATTTCGCCACTTCCTCTTAACCAAGTAGTTCATCTGGCTCATGGTGCTGCCACGTCAGCTGATGGATTTGACGGTGGGAAGACACGAGGTCGCGTGTGGAACAAATGTCTCACGTCGCCGACCGTTGTCATTCACTGTCCCGTTGCCATGTTCGCCTATCACATGATGCCAGTTGGAATTGCCTCCCCCCTCCGAGTGCGCGTTCATGTCACCGACAATGATCGATAATTGATGGTGTGGAATAAAACCAAGAACTGCGTATAAACACGCGTAGAACTCATCTTTCCTGATTGTGCGCCACATTGGTGGAGAAGCACACTACAACAACATTGACGTTAATGTACTCTGTTGATAGGGGGCAGCAAACAAAAATCCGACCGATTTTGTACTCGGCTGAGACCAAGTCTTTCACTGCTCTTGGTGACAACAACACCGTCACTCCTGACTCGCGTCTAGAATGCTTGTTCCTAGACAAGTGAAGCCGCCATCTTTTGTCCAGGCTAACTTTATCTTGGCGGGAGATGTGAGTTTCTGAGATTGTAAGGAGGCCGAGGTCTTACCATTCAGCAGTATGAATGACGATGTCATCCAGCTCGCTGACGGTGATCGGCTGGAGGTGAGTTTCCTTGATTCAACTTTACTTTGTCATGTCTACTGTATTTGCAACTTTTCAATACTTTTGCCATAAAACACCGTTGCTCCATTACAGAAGGAATAATCTCTCTCCAAAAGCATACCTCTCTGTACTGTGTTCATCCATGTTGCATGCTGACCTCCTGGTTGATGTCTGTCATGTTTCGGTTCTCATATGAGAATCTCACATGC